GATTTATACACAGCCTACTTCCAGAAGGATTTTAGACAGCTTAAAAAGATGAGCGCATTGTAAAGCGGACACACAAATTTAAAGCAGAATTTTAAAATGACTCAAAAGTCTCCAGGGAAAGTACATTCCTACTCTGATACACCCCTTCTTGCCTTCCCCACCCATGGCTTCTCCTGCCCCTCTTCAAGACAGACAGGGACATTAATGTGCCTCCTCGTGCTTGTTGGGAATGCGGACACACCCAGGAAGTAAACTATCGGCCAGGCTCCTTCCTGGTTCCCAGGTTGCGGCAAGCTGCCTGGCGTTGAGGGGCACGTCTGTTGAATTCTGTCGCTATTGGAACACCCATTTGCTCCAGTGTATCCATAGGAACAAAGATGCAGAGTGGGAAAGCCGGGCCACACACCCCTCACACTTAAAAAGAGCTTTATTGTGTTTGCACAAGCCGTAAATGCACTTGATGATGTACATTAAAGAAAGATAGTCATGCAGAATCTTCTGATGGCAGGACCTTGAGTCCTCATAAAATGTAATTAGGAAATAGCATTATTGAAATGCTGAGCAAGACTTTTCCTGTGTCCTGTTTTGAGGGAGTGATTTCCTATACAATCCTTTGACTTCTTGGACACTATTTCTTTCCTTCTTCAGATTATGAAAAAAAGAAGATGCATACAGTACTAAACCATCACTCCCTCCCTTCCTGCCCATGGTCTAGGATGAGCTTGGATTCTGATTTGACAATGAAGTGCCACCCATATTATTTACAGAATACTTACACACATGAAATCCCACTTGATCTTCAAAATACTACAGGCGGGAAACTGTCATAATCCCCATTGAAAAGAGAAGATGGAAGAAGTGAAGGGTTTGTGAAAGTGTCTCAGAGCAGTCAGCAGGAGAGAATATGGTCCACTGCCTCCTATTTTGTCTTTTGTTCTGACCAACTGCATTCCTTCCTGAGGTGTGAGTCAGGACTGATGATTAAATGGCAGGACCAGGGATACAGCGAAGCTGGTGTCTGTGACAGTCGGCCAGGCCATTCCGATGACCATTTGTCGTGAATGCCATCCAAGTGGACCAGTAGCGTTTAAAGGGGCTTTACTGCACTTCGTTTCTTTTGTGCATGTGACATAACATGTGTGTGGAAGTCAGGTGAGAATTTGCAGGAGCAACTTCTCCTTCTACAACATGCATCCCAGGGATCAAACCCAGGTCATCAGACTTGGCAGCAAGTGTCTTTAACCACTGAGCCACCTTGTCAGCCCCACCAGTGAATCTTTGTTCTAGAAATTCATTCTTTCTTATATCCATTGGTCATCTGCTTTTACTCCCTTCCCTGTGGTTGGTAATTATTATTTTTTTTAACCAACAAAGGATCACACACACATATACCCCTCTCTGAGATATACTTACAAATCATGGTCTAGTTGCCACCGAACTTATTACTAATACTGACAAAGCTTTCTCTTTACTCAAAGCCAACACCAAGGCTCTCTCTTCACAGCAGAGTCAGGGAGGTTAACAGATAGAAGCCCTATTATCGAAGATATGTCCTCACTTCTTCTGCTGCACTTAAAACTACCAGAATGCTAACAGAGTCTTGCCAGGATGAAGATACACAGTTATATCCACCTTGAATAGTTCTAATGTTACTTCAGATATTTGTTCCTGCCCACAACTCCTAACAGGCTACCTGGCATTGGGTTTGTTGTTGCCGTTTGGTGGAAAGACTGACTAAGAAGGCCAAAGAGGAGAAGAGGGAGATGGGTGATACAGAAGAGCCTTTGTGAGGAAATTACACACTGTGTTTTACCATTGTTACTCACTAGAAAAGGAATCCCACCTTCTGACCGGTTAACACGGCTTGCATTCTGGGAAAACAGAAGTCTTCTGATCTTAATTTTTACAGAAGAAGCTTATAAAGCCTATTTCTGAGGGTTTGGGACCAGATGTGTCAGTATGCGCCTGTAATCCTAGCACTTAAGGGGCTGAGGCAGAGGGACTGCAGATTTAAAGCCAGCCTGGACTACATAATGAATCCTGGCCAGCCTGGACTACACTGTGAGCCTCTGTCCGCTCCCCCCAATGCCCCTCCCCCCAAAAAAATCTTCTTTTGATTACTAAAATTCATTTCATGTAAAGCAAAATTATCTTGGGTTTCCTTAAGAATGCACCCTAAGGCGGTCATCAATTTACAATTACTCCAAAAAACAAACAAACAAATAAAAAATGAAAAACAAAACCAATCCTGTCAGCGCCTTTTCTGAAAAAGAAAAAAAAAGTATGTGTTACTTCACACCTGTCCTGAAAACTCCTCAAAAATTGTGATTCGTTTGGTCTCCTCAAAAGAGCATAGAGCTCAGTGGTAGAGCACTCATGGAGCATGCTCAAAGCCCTAGGCCCCACCCTCAGCACAGCACCCAGCCCAGGCTATGTATGAATATGTATTTAATGTGCAATTGCTATTTTCTTTGGAAATATCCACTCTCAGCGTTCGGACCAGAGACATTTTCCCTTTACACGAGGCCTGTGATTCCGATGGAGAAAGTCTGTGTCCACTGCAGGGTGTACCTATAGCAGGATAGAAGGGATACGAATTCCCCACGTAAATGGAAGTAAAGTGTAGAAATATGGAAAGACACTGGGATAATCACAGGGATACAAGACATCACTCTGAAAATTACATATTGTTTTCAAAAAGAAGAAACAATCTCTCCAGTAAAAACATTTGCTAATCATCCACTCAATCAAGCGTTTAAGCTAAACATCACCAGTGAACAGCCAGATGTTGTAATACAAAGCACTCTCACATCCAGTGGTTTGTCTGCGTTTACAGTCACCACAGGGAAATGATCAGACAAGACGAGAATGTGAACATTCTACATGTCAACTAGCCTTGTCCCCCCAAAAAGTCTGTGTCAAACACACAAAAAAAGGTTTCTCTGCATTCTGAAAGCTACAGCGGCAAATAGCCAAATGTAATTATACTAATAAGTGAGCTTTGGGGAAATCCTAGTTTTAACATTAGAAATGATAAAGGAATTTGGGTGGCAATTGAAATTTGAATTTGGAAAGGTGTTTGATGATATTAGGTAACAGTTCTTAACTTTCTTAGCATGTACGTGCATCTGCCTATATGGGAAAAATACATTTATTTGTTTCTGTTTGTTTCTTTATGTATTGGTAGTGCTGAAGAGCAAATCCATGACATCTTCCATGAGACAAGTACTCTACCTTTGAGCTACACTCCATCCTAGAATACCCTTTTTTCTAGAAGAGGCAGGCTGAGGCTTAGTAGTGCCTACAGGCCTACAGTGACTTCCAAATAGCTTAGCTCTCCACATCCAAACATACACACATGGGGTGGGGTGCAGATAAACACGACAAAATGAATGTTTGCTGTTGTATGAGACAGTATCTCACTGGGTAACCCTGGTTGGCCTAGTACTCACCGTGTAGCCCAGGGTGACCCAACAATCCTGTCACCTCCACCTCCCAAGTGCTGGAATTACAGGTGTGGGCCACCATACTCAGCTGATAAAAAAGGGCAATTATTAAATCTGGTGAGCGGTATATTGACATGTATTACACTGTTGTTTAAACTTTCCACATTACATGTTAGAAGACACAATGGTACAGTAACTAGTCTCCTCTGTGCACAGGAGACTAGTTACTGTACTTACATTTAATAACATCTGTGCTTACACTTAATAACAAAATTAAGTTATAAACGCTGCATTGGGACAGTTACTGGAGACAACTCAGAGGCCCTCCAAGGACAGTGGGTAGACTGAAGACAAAGTATAGCCCTCCTACATTGACTGTCTTTTCCACTCTCTTTGAAAACCTTATTCACACATCAAAAGTCCTATCAGCACATAACTAGAAAGTTACTAAATATGCCTAGAGTTTGATGATTTACTGTTCAATATTTTTATAAAATAAGAATGTTTATGCTGGCCAGCTAGCCTAGCCACTTGGGGGGTTCTAGGCCAGGGAACCTAGTCTCAAAAAAAAAAAAAAAAAAAAAAAAAAGACCCAAGACACAGCACCCAAGGTTGTCCTGTGGCCTACACACAGCTCTCCACATACACACATACAGCCTTTAGGTGTTTTAGGTGGAATCCAGTAGAGAAACGGGAAAAACAGAGCACTCAGCTAGTGTGACACTGATCCTTTCCAGGGGTTCAAGTTCATCTTTCAGTGCACTCTTAAAGGCGCAGTTACTACAGAGAGCTGCTCACAACCATCAAACCTGATTCTAGGAAATCAATTAGCCATGTCCCTACCTGCCTGGCCTCTCATGGGCACTCTGAACTTAGCCCAAACACCTCTGTCCACTGATGCTCTCAAACACAAGCCAAGGAACCAAACCGCAGAGCCTGTGTTCTCTGGAAGACAGTACCGAACTCTTACCAATTCCAGTAAATCTGCTAGCCTGGGGTGCTGCCTCTTCATGGACAGACATAACTCACTCATCTGCTGTTTTTCGGGCTTTGCTGGTGTTTGGGTGAGATGCAGGTGGCGTGATCCAGGGATGGGAGTGGTACAGTAGATGTGGTCTGGCTACCCCATTATCTGCTGTGGGAGGTGAGAAAGAGAAGTGGCTGGCGGCTGGCGGAGGAAAGCAGTAACTCACAACTGCTGGTGAGCGCTTTTCCTTTCTGGTCTCTTCTAGGAAGGACAGCTCTCAGAAGACAAAGTTGATGAATTAGAGATTTCCCAAAGGTGGACAGCAGGAGAAAGGGGGCCTATCCTGTCCTATTGTTGACAGTTTGTATTGGGTGGGAAAAGACAGATGTGAAGCGTGTCTGAAAACTAGTTCAAAGTACTCTTTACCCTAAACTGCAAAACATGTCACACCAAAAATAGAACTTAAAAGGAGTGAACCACAATACTTACTACATCTGAAAATATGAAAGATCATGTTCCTTTGTATTTGGGGAACATAAGGAATGTCTCTGTGAGCCAAGTACACCCCAGAGAATTGCAAGTCTTACCTAGGTACAAGGATGCGTTGTCTTTCTTGACGTTGTCATCTAAATAGGTTGGTCCCAGGGTGTAAATCGGTGTGGAGCCCATTCCAATGAGAACCTGTGCACAAACGAATAAAGCTACATACACCCAGTGATTATTTCCTCCCGAGTCCTTGGGGCAGGGAAGAGGCTCCAAGGTGGCCGTGGAGTTGCCATTCTGACAAAGGCCATCGTTGGAGACCGACGTGTTCAACTCTTGGATTTGGTAGGGAGGTGAGATGAAGTGAGGTAAGGCGAAGAGCGCAGCCCCGACAGCGATAAGAAGTCCACCCACCGCCAGCCATAGAGGCCTTCGCCCACGGCCGCCGAAGTAGCTGACGAACACCACCACTACCAGGTTCCCTATGTCAAAGCAGCTGACCAGCAGCCCGGACTCGGAACTCTTCAGGCTATAGCGCCTTTCAATGGTCGTGATGACACTGCTCAGGTACCCAGAGACCATTAACGCCTGGATGAAGGTCAGAAAACACATGCACACTAGGAAGCAGCGAGAATCCGTAAGGACCACATAGAGACACCTTCTCTCCTGGAGTGTGGCCAGAGTAGAAGACACTGACATAGTTTTGCTGGGGTCCATCCTGTGGTTACAGTCCACGACTTCCGCTGTAGTCCCTGCCGAAGTGGATGGGGCAGAGGGACTAGGGACGATCAGGTTCCCTCCTCCATGCATCTCCTGGTGACCCGAAGATTCAGTGCAGCCCGAGGCCAGTTCGCCATCTGCATTCCCAGCACTGAGATTCGGCCGGCAGGAGGCGCTGTGCAGGGCTGGTAAACTCTTAGACCTGAAGGTCTCTGACTCGCACTTCTCTTGGACAGCTCCTACCTCGGCAGGTGCCTCCAGCTGCTCTTGGGCCCGGGACTGCACAGCCCCTTCGTCCATGGCTCTTAAAATCTGATCGCTGATCCCATACAAGGTCTCCGGCACTTTTCATCCACCTGCACGAGGGGCCGAAACCGGGCCCACACTCAGTTGTGCCCACCTGAGACCCGGGCTGCGGACGTCAGAACCGCGTAACTGAACATCTCAGCAGCAGGGAGATGCCCAGAGCATCCTGACCGGAGGCGCAGCGGGGAGGTTTCTCCACCTCGTGCCAGGGGAGGTAAAGATCCGCACGGTCCTGCGAGGAGCCCTGTTCGGCGTCCACCTCCCGGGGATAGCTCGCGGTAGGCGCTTTGCGCGTCCGGTGCTCATCCCCCTCCGCCGCCGCCTCTCAGACGGTGGCCAGGAGCTAGAGCGCTCTGTGCCCAGTGTGGTGTCACTTAGCGCGACTGTCCGAACGGCATCCTACTTGGTACTCCCCGGGGTGTTCGGTGCCCACCGCAGGGCTTGTGACACACTCCGGGGTGAAGCTGCCAACCTGCAAAGCAGAGAATGGATCGTCAGGGAAGGATGGCTGTAGTTGGGGCTGGCGTCCCGGCGCCGGGGGCTAGAGCTAGGTAACCCGGTGGTCCCTGGAGGGGCCGAGGTGCCAGGCACTAGCTGAACGCGGCAGGAAGAGCCCGCAGAGGCTGTAGCCTCAAGTCCCGGAACAATGAGCAGCAGGCGGTCCGCCGAGACTCTCCCTCATTGTCTGCTGCGGGCCTGCCCCCGCCCCGCCCCTTTTGCCTTAAACAGTGCGTTTGCTTTTATATGTTAATAATTATCAACCTAGCAGCTCTGACTCAGAGGCAGTGTCTTTTATTCAAGTGAACTAATTGCAGCCTTTTGTTACTCCTACTCTATGACTCAAAATAGAAGATTCCCAAAAGAACAAAGGAAAGTTTTTTTTTCTTCTTTTACAAACACACAGTGCCTTCCCGGTCTCAATTTTTAAAATGCATTTTTAAGCGATAGACAGAAAACTACGTGTAGAAATGTGTTTGCACACTTGTACGCTGGCACGTGTGTGCGATTAGATGTGAATTCGCCTGTTCCATTAGACACCTACTTATTCAAAGCCAAAGGCAGCCGGAGAAAAGAAAAAAAAAAAGGTCAGCATGCTTGTCTGGTTATTCTTTGCACTAAAAATAGCCCCTTGCCGGAAAGAACTATTCAATTACAAGTAACGAGGGCATTCAAGGCTGTGGCCCACGTTAAGTCCCAGAGCGCAAGGTTGAGCGAAACCGAAAATCAATTTGCTTTGCAGATGGCTGGGTGAAGCCACAACCAAACAAAGAGACGCTGGCACAGCGTGCACGAGGAGCCCACCGAAGCGGCTCAGCACCGGCGGGCTGGCGGGGCGGTGTGCAATTTACCGAGCGCACCCCGAGAACGTGGGCTCTGGGGTGTGTGCGCGCCTGCGCACACACACATGCACACACACACACACACACACACACACACACACACACACACACCAGAGAGTACAGGGTGAAACTGTTGTGCAATCCAGCACTCGGCTTGAATTCAGCAAGCACCAACATCGGTGTGCCCCGGTGTAAGCCCCATCCCTAATCCTGGAGAACCCTACACCACTCTCGCCGCGCCGCGATGTGCACCAGGTGGGAGGGACTGGGGCTCCGCTGCGTTGGGTTTCATTCTGAGCTTTCGTGGTGCTGCTACGGGGGAAAAGGGGTAGGAGAGAAAGGCGGAGAAGCTGGCCGAGGGGTGGCAACCACCGCATCTCCCTGGACTGTTCCGGACGGGGCTCACCCTCAGATTCCCGGCCTGCCAGTGGCTCGCAAGCCGGGTCTTGGGCTCCGCCCGCTCACCCTTGCACCTTCCCGGGGAACTCCACCCGTGGCTGCGCGCCGAGCTGGGGAATCCCGGCATCGGAGCCCCTGCCTGGGGGAGCAGCCGCATCGCGGCGCAGACTCGGATGGGATGAACACCCGGATCCCCGCCCGGAGCTCAGGGAACAGATGCGGAATCCCAGGGACACCCCCTGCGCGCGCACGCACTCACACACACGCAGCCCGTGGGAGGACAGAGCCGCCGGGTCCGCTCGCCGCTCTGCCGGGTTCACCAGCCTTCACAACTCACTAGCGAGGGTGACGACCAGTCTGCCGGGTTGGGAGAGGAGCGGCCGCAGTAGGACAGCGGAGGTGCCTTGCAGATGGGCCAGCCTCCTGCGGAGGCGGTCTCGGTCCTGCCGCCGAGAAATCGGGGAGTGAGACTGCGACTCGGGCTGCCTAACTCTTCCCCCAACCCCTGGCCTGTCACCCAAGCCTCTTCTCTCCAGACAGACACACGCGCACAGAGACGCACCGGGACTGGAGCGGCAGAGGGCGCAGGCGCGCGGGCAGCCACCCAGCCCAGCCCGTGGGCAACGAGCCACCCCGCTGCCCTTCACCTGCTCGGAGGGAAGACGACCCTCACCGAAGCCCCCCAAGGAAGCGCGTGTCTTAAAAAGTCACCGACTGGGGCCGAGAACCATTATATGTAAAGTATTTCGGTTCGTTTCCACCAAGTTCACCACGCATCGCATCGTGTCTTTTCTACTGTAGCAGATTTCAGGGGACCAAGTGGAACAAGATCCCTGATGTAGGGAAACTTGTCTTGTCAAGAAAATGTCTGCGTTAATGGCTTGAACCCATGCGGTACGTTCTATACAGTTTGCTACCGCAGAACCAGACACCCGTTAGCCTTCCTTTCCAGAGCAGGGAGGGCGCTGCAAAGGCACAGGGTCATGGCGAGCCAAGTAAACCAGTAGACTCCCTGCTGGGAGTTTGGAGAGATGGGGCAGAGGACTGCACTGTCCTGGTGGCAGAGAACAGGACACAAGGGGTCTCATGACTTGTGTACTGTCAGTTCCGAGGTCCCATGACTTTCTGCCTTTCTTACCAGAAATAGCTTCGTCCGCGATGGGTAGACTACTGTGAGTGCAGAGGCAAGTAAGGTGGAAATACCCACATGTGATGAGGTAGGGGCCAGGGAAATAGAAAGCAAGCTGACAAGGTAGATGTGGCTAGCCTAGTTAGGCCAACACAAGGGGACTCCTGATTTAAAACTTGAGTGAATAAAGTTTAATCAAAACATGAGAGGAGAAACGTACTGGCTGTTCTCGTTTTATAAGGGTTGAGTTTGAAATGCCATTAGAACATCTAAGTGCACATACCCCATAAGCTACAGGGTATAAGATGCTCAGGAGGTTTGGACTAAGCATGTAGATTATAGTAATTAACCCTACAAAGACGACATGAGAAAGGATAAGTAAGTAGGGCGGATTCCAAACTGAGAAGAGATATAGGCTAAAGATGGGGCACTGAGAACATTAAGATCTGAGAGGAAGAAAGTTAAGAAAAAAGACTAGAAGTCAGAACCAGAGAAGCACAAAGAAGTAGACAAGTATGGGTGTCACTGAGGCCTAAGGAGGCCGATTAAAAAGGACAACAGACTGAGAAGGCCCTGCTGACTGACAGTACCAATGCTGTGCTGGCTACGGTGCCATGCCAGACCTACTTGATGGCTCCTGGCTGTCCCTATGAAAGTACCATCTCACTTTATAGATGTGGTATATGTGCTGTGGTCCAAAGTTCCACGGCCTTAGCCAGGCACAGTGCATGTGTCTGTAATCCAAGCAGTTGGAAGGCTGAGACAGGAGGGTTGAAATCTCAAGGCTAGCTTGGGGGTCACTTAGCAAGACTTTGTCTCCAAAAGAAAAAAAAATCTGGAGACTGGAGCGGTGGCTCACTCCAAAGGACCTAGATTTGATTCCCAAAACCCATATGGTGGGTTACAGTCATCTATAGGTCTGGTCTCAGAGGACCTGACACGTCTCCATAAGCACTGCATGCACATGGAACATACATGCAGGCAAAACAATTGTACACATAAAAATTAATTATTTTTTAAAAACCAATCCTTGTGGCCGTCACTTTCTACTCCCCTCCCTCTGGCTGAGTGGTATCTTGACTTGAGCTCTTGAGCACCCCACTTCAGCTAGACAACTGCCATGTCTCCAGACGATCTGTAAAGAACATGTGAGACCAGGGGACACCTAAGAAGAGTCCACGTGTCCCTGCAGCCACACAGAGACAGCACTTACGTGGCAGTGGGCAGACTGATTGATCACTATTCCCTCTGTCACTGTCCACTCAAGCCTGTGGTCATTTATCCCCAGCAGAGAGACTCACCCTAAGTGCTACCGATTATTAGACTGTAGTTCCCTCTGCTGATAAAGTAAAGAAAAATATGTGGTGCTTTCTGTACCTAACTATTTTTTGGAGCTTATTCTGGATCCAAAGAATTGATCTACATTGTCCTAGCTCCCTCTAAGCACTTTCTCCCTGTTCTCTCATTTCAGCCTTGTTTCCAGACATCAGCTGTTCTGTAGCAAATCTGATCTCTTACATCAGGTGCCAGGGCTTCCCTACTGAAAGCTAAACAGGCCTGTTCCTGGAACCCTCTGTTTAGTCATGGTCAATTACCATACTCGAACTAGAAATGACTCTAATAGCCTACAGGATCGTGTTATTGTTTCATCACACACATAAAGGGTCATAATTTATAGACAGAATTTAAATGGCTCAATTAGCTGAATGTTTCCCATAAGAAACACTCAGGATGAAATGTTTCCTTTACTGTTTCTCTGATAGCTCATGTGTGGCAGACATTATGGTGAGGAGTATGTGAGGGGAAGCATGGCTTACCTCGTGGAGAACAGTAAAGAGCAGAGAGAAAGATGGAGGACAGGAGGAGAAAGGGGGAGAGAGAAGACCCTTAGGACAAGATATACCTTTCTGTAGCACAGCCCCCAATGCTACCTATCTTCTGTCACCTGTAGATACTGCCATCAAATAAGAATTGCTTAAGTCAGAGTTGTCACGATTCAACCACCTCACAGGCTGGGAACCAATCCTCCAGTATATGAGCCTTTTATGAGAATTTCATATCAGAACCATGACATCAAGTCTGCCTTTATTGACCCCATTTTTTTTTTTGAGCTGAGGATCAAACCCAGAGCCTTGTGCTTGCTAGGCAAGCACTCTACCACTGAGCTAAATCCCCAACCCTATTGACCCCAATCTTAAGCTTAACAGAAAGAGATGGAGTCAGATTATAGAGTTCTGCTACCTATGGCTTCTTTCATTCTGTATGTGGTTGCCTTGTTTGATATATTGGAACAGGAAGCCTGTGACCAGAAACTCTCTTCAAAATTTCTAGTTTGCTTGGTTTCTTCGAAGTCACTTGGGAACAACCAAGACTATAATAATTTGGCCATTCAACACAGGAGGGTGAGGAAGGTGGGGGTGGTGGCTCCATTACACATCTCTCTTTCCTTCCTGCCACTCAGGGCTGCTTTCAGGAGACTCCCCAGACACAAGAACTGAGTTTTACTCAAGAAGAGCTTCTGGGCTTAAAATAGAACTTGAAAGTAATGGCTAATCTTCATAGTTAACTTGATGAGATCCAGACACACCCAAGAAACATGCCTCTGAGTGTGTCGGGGGGCAGCATTTCCAGAGACATTTAACCTGAAGAGGGAGGACCTGCCATGAGCACAGGCTGCACCACCCTGGAATTGTGGATAGAAAAACCAAAAGGAGGGCAGAACACCAGCCTTCGTCTCTCTGCTTCCTGACAGCAGATGCTGCGTCACCAGCTGCCTCACACTTGGGTGGCCATGACTTCCCCGCCATGATGGACTGTGTCCCCTCAAACCCTGAGCTAAAATAAACCCTTAGGTCACCACTCATCACATTAGCTCACAACAAGAAAAAAGCGGCTAGTACACTTGATATTGTCATCGCACTGAGTACTGGTGGTTTATGAGGGGGGAAACGTGTCTTTCAGGAAGGCACTTAACTAAATTTGGCATCTGTGCTCATACTTAGAAATAAATTTCAAGCTGGATAAATCAAAAGAGAAACAGATCTGAGCCTGCGGTCCCACAGGAAATGGTTGGAGGAGCCTACAAGTGCGAACGAAGTAGGAAGTCACACATGTCCGCTTTGGTGTTATGAGCCCTAAACCCTAAGAAACTGCTGCCACAGCCCTACAGAGGAGCCATGCAGATGGTCAGCCTGAAGAACGAAAGGTCTCATCAGTCAGGACCTTAAAGAATCTACTCAATCCCTCTTACTAAAATTATGCCCAACACTCCAAGATTTGTCATGAGAATGGCTTGCCTATGAAGAAGAGAAATTGCCCCCAAAGCTTTGTGTTCCCTTGAAAAGTGTTCCAGAAGCTGGGTGTTGTGGTTGGAGGGTCAGCCGATCACACTCATCCTCAGCTGCATAGCAAGTTAGAAGCCAGCCTGGGCTACATGAGATCCTGGCTTTAAATGAAAAACAAAGTGTTTTCTAGTTACCACCATTCCCTCCAGGCCTGGAAAGGACAAAGGCAGAGCAAGCAGAAGGAGTTAGGAAAGAGATTGGGAGACAGTCACCCATGGGCCCTAAGGGTCTCTGCACACTCTTTTGGTATATACAAAGAGTATATAGGCCTGAGTGCTCTTTGTCCAGGCCATTTCTCAAGCATATTTGATGCCAAGAATCTTGAGGGCTGACCAAGACTTGCTAGTCCATTACCAAAGAGCAGTCTTCCTCCTTGTGCTGTGTACACAAGTATGGGTAATGGACTCTTTACATCACTCCATGGGACTTAGGGTCTCTTGATGCTGGAATCATCTCCCCAGTACCCAGGATGAACTTACCCACTTATCCACGGGGTCAAGCTCCGGACCCTAGACCATTCTTAAAAAGCACTGCTCAATAGAACACACTCTACCAAACCCTAAGTTCAAGCTGGTTCAAGGCCTGGGATCTGAAACAAATCTCTTCTCAGTGGGCATTCAGCATACATTCCCTGGATTCTTTTTGTTTTTTGTTTGTTTGTTTCCTAAAACAGCAGTGTATGGAAAGCTAGCTTCAACAAATCAAAACAAAAAACAAGCAAGCATCAAGGAAGCAAAAAAAAATCACCAACCCCCAGACCCACATGTAGATGAGGCTCTGTCTAAAAAAACGAGGCACTTGGTGAGTGTTGGGAGGTAAGATGAGCCATTGCCACATTTTCAGATGTCTCCTGGCAGCAAGCGCCTTATGAAGATGTGGTTCTTTCCTGCTTCAGCATCCCATAGTCCAGTCTGGCTTCTCAGTGTGGAGAGCCCAACACAGCATTAACCACTTCTGATGTCTGGATCAGGCTGCAGCAGAAAGTCCTGTGAGGGCCTCTCGCTCCCCACCCTCTAGGCAGTGGAAGAGGTACCAGTTTCTCTGGCAGGACACCTGTGTATTCTAACAGTCCTTCCTAGACAACATTTGTCAGGCCCTTTTGGACATTTTGTGATTCTCTTTCCATCTAAAAATGGAAGGTGGTTTCTAGAAAGATCAAAACACTGGGCAACTGGCTAGTCAACGATGTCTCACCTGCAGCTTGAGGCCTCTCTGCCCAACACTTAGCTTCCCTGTCTGTAGCACAGCCTTTAGAGTTCTTTCTCAGGACCTACCTCAGAACCACCAGACCCTCCTGTTGGAGATTCTAAATCTACATTCACAAAGCAAGGCCCAGGGACAACTGGGATTTCTCTGTCCAGCCTATCTTCTGACTTGCCATTGCCAGAGCACATGCTTCCTCCCTAGATAACAGGAAAGAGTCACATTTCAGGGGTGAACTGACCATCAGTTCAATAACCAGGGCATAAAATAATGAACCATGAAGCTAGAAAGTGACACCATCCAGGTAGTGCACACTAATGATCCCTTCAGAGCAGATGGGACACCTGAAGACTACTATTTCCTAGTATTTATTCATAAGAATGACGCCCTGGCCATCTGAAACACATAGCTGTGATCCTGTGATTACCAACTATGTCTCTGCTCCAGTCCAGAAGTTCTGCTTCATTTGTGGGTCAAAACAGAGTGGTTAGGAATCAGGGTTCTGGGACAAACCACTTAGCACTGCTCTAACACTCTAGGGGAGAGCACTGTGCCATCTACAGCATTGTTCATTAAGAGGAAGCTGCCCCAGTGCCAACACGGGTCCCACCAAGAAGGAAAAATGTTCCTGGTGTCACTACAGTGTCACTTAGTGATTAAAGAGAAAAGGAGGACCGTGTTTCCAAACTGCCTGCTCTGAATCTCAGTGCCGCCATTTATAGCTGTGTGGCCTTGGGCAATTCATTAACGCTCTCTGCCT